AACAGTTTTTCAGGACCAAGGCCAGGACAAGAGTACAGCGCTGCTGACTAGAGTTTTCCCTTGTACTCTCAAAAACCTGAAGCCTGAACAAAAGAAGTGAATAAGATGTTTCAGGGGCTCATCAACTGGAAGGTATGCAGTTCTTTGGCAATGGGCGGCCTAACACCATCCATTGGTAGGTTAAGCTATGAGTTTTCTTCAAAACAACAAACAAACAAAACAAGCAAATAAACAAGGAATGGTACTGAGACGCAGTCCACGCCGGTTGTTTGGGCGGGGCCAGGCCTGCCATTGTGTCATCCTCACTGGCGCAGCTAGCCTCTTTATTGTCTTACGAACAGGAGGCATGGTAGGCTTGCCTCTGCCTTTTCGATAGACGTGGACGGTGAGCTGGAGGACGTGTCAAAGTATTTATTACCTTAATGTTTTGTCGCAGTTTTCTGTGAAGCTACAGCGATTCTCATTAAGGGTTGGTCCGACGCTTGCGAGCTACATTTCCCCAGATACCGCTCTTCATAATGATCCGTCCACGTAGTGGTGATTTCATCTATTCACAGGATGAAGTCAGTGTGATGTTGGAGGATCTGCGAGCAATGAAAGCTATCGGAGCGGCTGGATTCGTTTTTGGCGCGCTGGACAGGCAAGCAAATTCCTCATCAGTTTGAAATACTCTGCTTTCCGGGTTCAGGCCACCTGTGCATAGGCCACGCTTTTGTCTTGAACGCTGCGAATATTTCGTGAGGAAAAAAAACATATTTCTAGTTTAATACCGCCTAATAGTTTTGATGGGATAGTTGAAAGACAATTTCTGAGACGCGATGGGAAAGGTCAACAGGTCAGCCTGGCCATTTGCAATGAGATGCACATCACTGTACTCATCTTTACACGCTGAACTCAGAACTGCCTTTAGAATTTGCAGAACGATTCTCTGAGCGGAGTTTATTGAAAAGGGTTTTTTTTTTTTTTTCCCCTTTTTTTTACTGTTTTTTCTTCTTGCCGGGCGCGCTGGCACCGAAGCGTTGGCACCGATAGCGCGAATTACAGTGCTCTTCGCGCAAAACAGGAATCATATTCGTGTTCATATGAGGTCGAATAAACTCCAGAACGTCACCCTTAGAGAAATACATGAGCTTCTGACTCAACTTCGAAAAATGTGGTATTTGAATAGTAAATGGCTGACTGATAGCCAACATCAATACTATGACTAGCATACTGGTGATGACTGGTCTTCAAACTGATACAACACTTCAGTCATGTGTTTTTGCAAACAGCAGTAGCTGGCTTACTTATTTGTGCCGTCTGCACAATTTTCTTGACTATCGGGAGGAAATCCCATTCCAAGATCAGTCATCGATGGTAGGTGAGCTCCAATCTGCTGCTAATTACCCATGGAATAGCCCACATTTTCCAAGTGAGGTCGAAAAATCAGATTCGGCCAGAAACTTGTCCCCAAGGGTAATTCGACCCGCTGAACACGATTATCATGGTATTATATTGCAAAAACCCTTGCGACATGTACTACAGGGGGGCAAGCACAAGCACTCTTCCAGGCCACAATGGGTCTACACTTTCGAAAAAAACTGGTCGCAGTTTCCTTACAGGATAGTGCAGGCGAGCAGAGATGTTAGAAGCTTTGTCGGCTATGTTCTTGGACAAATGCAAAAAATGAACCTGCCCCAGAACCGATCCTGAGAAACCCACTCGCCTATCCGCTGCGCTTCCTGCTGGCCACGTTTTCGAGAACGATTCCATACGTAAATGTAAAGACGCTTCAACGTTTCCTCGCGACAGCACGTGAAACGACCATGCGGGGATAAAACCCTTCATAACTCCGTTCAGAGAATCGTTCTGCAAATTTTGAAGACAGTTCTGTGTTCACCTTCCCAAGACGCGTACAATGGTGTGCAGCTCATTGGAAATGCGACCTGTTGACCTTTCCTGGTGAGAAAGAAAGAGGCTCGCCGCCGTATTTTCAGGAGTCTATGGCAAAAGATGAATACTATCCGACTACATTTGCGCCTTGTAGTCTTGTAAAAGTGAATAGTATCGACTCATTTGCCCCTGTGAAGTCTTTTGACGCCAATTATGCCAGCTCATGAACAAGGGATTAGGAGGTCGGTTGGCTTCAACAGAAGTGATGTTGATCCGAGACTTGACCCCAGGCCTTATACGTGGTAAGCAGCGCCACATCCTAGTGTACGATCCCCTACTCCGCCTCTGCCTTACCAAGTTTTGTTTCATCGACGAGATTGACAGGAGATGATGGATCAATTTCAGCGCTGGAGCTCTTGACGAAGCCGTCTGCAAACGCCTGTTGCAAGCTGCGCGACCAGCGCCCTGTACCTTGCACCGGGCCTTTGATCTTGCCAAGGACTGGAGATCAGCTCTAGATCAGGCTATCACCCTTGGCTTCAAGGTCGTTCTTACCAGGTAATTATCAATTTTCATGAAGATGCGATGAAACTTTCATCCGAACTATCATGAGCCAGCCGGTATCGTTATGGTTAGAATGTTGAAAGAAAATTGAATCTTAATATCGTTAATTGCTTCATCATGTTGTGCACAATTTCGCAATAAACGGATGGGCGCAGATACGACTGAAGGCTCAGTAATGCTGTGTCGTCCCTACTGATGCACCTATACTTCTAAAACAGCAAAGGGTGGGAGCTAAGCAATGGTAAAAGTGACCCAGCCCCTTCAGTTGTTGCGGAATAAGGTTTCAACCGTATTCTGCGCAGTAACAGTGGAACAAGTATGTTTTCTTCGTTTCTTTTAGTGGTCAAGCAGCAACAGCGGTAGCTGGTCGTGACAAGCTGAAGAAAATGAAGAAGGAAGCAGGAGATCAGATCCAAATTATGGCCGGTTTCGTCGACATCAAATGTTTACATGGGATGTGGCACTGCCTTTTTGTGAAGAAAAATCGGGGCAAAGGTAGTAGAGAAGGGCAGGGGTAGCACGCGGTGGCGCGAGTACGCCACGTTATAATGTCTTGTCTTGCCCCGTCTTCTTGAAGCCTCGAAATGGGTGCACACGCCATTTCTTTTCAATGAGAAAGCACAGACGAGCAGGCATGACACGGCATGGTCGCGTGCTCCGTAGTCCCTCCCAATGGCCTTTGTTCCAGGACAACTAATGCATGTTTTTTCCACCCAAGCTGTTTTCCTTAGATCGACTGCTTTGAGGGGTATAGGTTGGAGTTTATAAGACCTGTTCTTTCTAGGCTCTGGCGTAAATTCGAAAACACTTCCATCGTTGCTGTGGCGAATCAAGGTAAAATTAGATCGGTCAACATTGAAACCCACATCAAGGAGCAATCCAATTGCATACATTCCGCTCGACAGAATGGCCGCGGAGCTAGGCGGACCACTATGCTTTTTCACTGGCCGCTTCCATACAAGCAGTGTGGCTTATCAGTGAGAAAGCACCAAAGTTCAACTGACTCCGCTCATCAGAACAGCGTGGAAATGTGTCCTTTAATATCGCCAAGTGTAGCGCGGGGAACGTTAACCATTTATGCCAGATCCATATCGTTTTCTCCAATCAAGTCTCTACATCCACTCTCGGAATCATAGTCTATTCCAGGCACAGCGAGTTCGCGTAACCATGGGTCCCATGGACACAGAACCCCAGCGAGTGACGAGCAAGGAAGAAGTGAGCACAATGCGTCCCTAGGATTGATAGGACTCGTTAATTCTTCAGGATAACGGACCCATACTCACCACCATACTACTAATTTAAGAAGTGGAGGACACTCCCATGTATATAAGGAACATTGGTCTTCTATTGTTGTAAAGCCAGTCGTGAACACCATAAAAGTACAAAATAGAATTTACGTAGTTGAACTGAACGTGTTGGTCAAGAATTCCGGGTTCCCGTTACTTTTTATTGTCACCTTTGTTGATTTCTGTGACTATTGCACAATGGGAGTTTTTTTCGTTGAAGGTTATGGAATAAATATTTTCGAAATATTTTTCATACGATGGTGCTTCTTCGCTAAGGGAGGATATACGAGAGGCCAAATAAAAGCACCCAGATAGAATGAACGGATTTCGCAGGGAGGCTGGATGTTCGTGGCAAAGGAATCATTAGAAATTTTCACACTCATTCCTCTGCCCCATTACAGCCACAAAGCGGGTCTTTATTCCCACCGAATAATCTTACTCAGCCTCAATGTGAACAATGTTTCAATCAGAGCGCCGTGAGCCTTCAGAAGACATAATGCGTTTCCTGAAGCTGCCTTCACAAATACGGAACTTGAAATCTGTGGCAGCTCTGAGGTATCAGCCAAAATAGTCCTGGCACGTAAAGCGTTGAGAGCAGCTTATTTCAACTTTTCCAGCGAATTTCCTTTTCGTCTCTTCATTGAATCAGCAGCGAGGCCTCAGACTTCACTGCCTTCTTCGATCACCTGCTGCCTAAAAAGCCTGCCTTGTATAGAAGCCTGTTACGCAACCTTAGGGGTATACCCGTGCTTGCAGCTTGACACTGAACGATGAAAGCATTCTGACCATTATTAGCCTTACAAAACGCCTCCTTTAGAAGTAGCAGCAGCCCATCTGGACGTGTATGTCAGCCGTACTATGTTTATATGTACAGATATGAGCGCCTTTACGTTCAGTCTCGTGTGAAACCACTTCTGCCGTCTCGCCTGGCTTTCCGCCATCCGTCTCTGCTCTCTCATCCGCGCAGGCAGTGTCTCGCTTCTTCAGTGCTCGTCCAGTGTTAGTGTTACAGCCTTACTGAGGCTTTTAAACAGCTTCCCCCACCTTTTTCTATACTGTTGAATGATCTAATAGAAAGATAAAGTCTTCGCCGTTGATCAATCCCTTTGTGGGATGCGGCACGCATTCTACTTCCATTCAGAATCGTAGTGGCTTATTGAATGCGATGTGGCCTATACAATGACTTGCGGGGCCAGCCGATGTACAAGTCAGTGTTCTTATCCTCCCAGACGAATATGGTACCAATTTATCGCTACCGGAGGGAAGAAGGCTTGGTTGGACTTGGGCGGATGCTAAGCCGGGATTGGTAAGTCAAATAGCGTCTACAAAATCGTAACCTTGGATCCCACATCCAACATATTGTAGAGGAGGGATGGATCATTAACATTTCTCGCAGGAGTTGTGCTGCTTGGTCTTGCTTGTCGGGGTCGGTCCTTTGGAAGATTCGACATCCTCGCACTATTGATGATGGTTCCTATGAGTGTTTACTCATTAACAATTGCAGCTAAAGGCTTTCGCATACCGTCCGAACTTAAGCACATACGCAACTGAACGGTCGGTGAAGGCATGGGGCGACTCCATGGTCAGTGCAAAAGAATCTAATGTGGACTGAACTCACAATGATAAACAGCAAGCAGCCTGATTGCTGACTGGCGCTTATCGCTGCAATTTTGCGCCTTTTGCGCTTTAGTGTACCCTGTACAATCGATTGTGTCCATGGAAAGTACGTGGAGAGAAAATAACATCGAAGGCCCTCGGAGGGAGAAAGTATCGAAACCAGGGTATGTCCTGCCGTTAGGAGAAAATTTTGCGAAGCACGATGTCCGCTCAAATTTCCTTCTCTAGTACCGTCCCACTTCGCAAACCCCTTCCTACCTTCTACCATCTTCTTAGATTCTACCAGCTTCCTGCACCACTCTCCCCTAGTTGTCCCCCGAGAAACCGCTGTCGGTGGGGGGGGGGCACGGGTATATGTAGGGCAGGTGAAAGGGGAAAAATTGAGGCAAGTCAACAACCAAAACAAAAGCAAGTACAAGTCCCTTCTCCTCCATAATACGTCCTTTCTCGCTCAAAATCTCAACGTACTACGTGCCCTGATCGAAACTCCATTCCAAACCACGAAAACTGCTGAAGGAGTGAAGTTAGAAGTAGGATCAGTTCAGCTTCTTCTAAGCTTAATGTCAACGCTGACATTAATTGTAGACCAATAACTAAACAAAGAAAAGTCATTGAAAATGAAAACCTCTCGACTCTTTTGAAAAGTTGAACATTGAGGAATATTGAGGGGTTCGAAACCGAAGATGTAGCTGGTTTCCGTTTCGCACGTGCTTTCTGTTAACGGGA